TTGACAGGAGATGCAGGGTCCACAAATATTCCCATCTTCGCTGATGGGAGAGCATAGCACATCAGGGCAAAAGATAAAGCTGAAATGTTTGCATCTATCGTCATCAAAGTGGAGGATCTATCTTGGCCTCCTGAGATTTCCACCAACACAAATACCAGTCTTCACCAGTTCACTTCACTCCATTCCAATCAGGAAACTTCTAAAGGTAACAATACTCTGGCAACTGTACCAAAGACTTAAGCTCCAGAACTAGTCATGGCCCTAGTTGTGCCAGTGTAGTGACTGGCATCTACACGACAATGTGGAAATTTGCCCAGGCATGTACCAAAGCAGGAAAACCCAATCTGACCAATTACCACCCCATCAGTCTAGTCTTGATCATTAAAGTGATGGGAGCAGTCATGAACAATGCTATCAAGCAGCACTTGCAAGGGAATAGGTGCTTACTGGCATCCAGGTAGGGTTCTGCCAGGGCCTCCCAGCTCCTGGCCTTGGTACAGCGTTTCTGCAAACACTGACAAAGAGGTGAATTCCAGAGATGTGGCAAGCGTGATTGTCCTTGACATCAAGGCTGCATTTGAACAAGTGTGGCATCGAGAAACCCTAGCAAAACCGCAAATTAATAGAAATCAAGGTTGGGGTGGGGACGTGGTGGTTGAAGTGATGAGATTCTCTACTGGTTGAAGTCATACAAAGCACTAAGAAAGATGATTGTTGGAAGTTAATTTCCTCAGTCCAAGGACATCACTGTAGGTGTTCTTCAGGGTAGGGCCTCAGACTCAGCTATCTTCACCTTTTCATCAATAAGGTTCCCTCTGTCATAATGTCAGAAGTGAGGATGGTCACTGATGATAGCACAGCGTTCAGTGTCATTCACAACACCTCAGATGCTGCAGCAGTCTGTGGCCATTTGTAGCAAGACCTGGACAACATCGAGGCTGAGAATTAATAAGTGGCAAGTAATAATCACATCTTGCAAGTGCCAGGCAACAATCACTTCCAGCAAGAGAGAATCTAACCGTCAGCCATGATATTTAATGGCATTACCATCACTGAATCCCCTACTATCAACATTCTGGAGGTTACCATTGACCAGCCATAGAAATACCATGGTTGTAAGAGCAAGACAGCAGCTTGGAATCCTGGGACAAGTGACTAACTTTGTGACTTTTCAATGCTGATCCACCATCTACAAGGCCACAATTCATGAATGTGATAAAACATTCTCCATTTGCCTGGATGAATGTAGCTCCAACGACACTGAAGCAGCTTATTTGGCCCCCCAACTTAACATCCAACATTCGCTACCATCAATACTAAAGTTCAGTAGAGGCAGTGTATACCATGCACAAGATGCATTGCAGTAACTCACTATTGTTTCTCTGACAATACCTTCCAAATCCATGAACTCTACCACCTAGAGGGTCAAGTGCAGCATATAGATTCCTGGTAACACCACCGCTTGTAAGTTCTCCTACAAGGCACACACCATGCTGACTTGAAACCACGTCACAGATCTTTCACCATCACTGGGTCAAAATCCTGGAGCGCCCTTCCTGACAGCACTGTGGTGGTTCCTGCGCCTCAAAGACTGTAGTGATTCAAGATTGCCACTTTTTCCAGGGTAATTAGGGAGTGCAATAAATGTTGCCTGAGCCAGTGACCCCACATCTCATGAATGAATTAAACTGAAAGGCTTCCTGTGCTCCTTGGCCAACCTAATCCTTGCATTTCAGCAGTTTTGTTTGTCGAAGTATCACGAGGAGGGAATTTTCCTAAAGGGAAAAAAAAACTTGCTGCTATTGACTGTGTCAAATTGTTACATTTTGAAGCTCTAACATAGAAAGCAGAATGCCCAGTTTTAATGCTGCGCTGGAAAGATTGGCACAGGAATAGGCCAAACAGCTCTTTGATCACCAGTTAAATTTAATCTTGGCTGTTTCATATTTTTATTCCATCTACGCACTTTGGTTCAGTAATGTTTAATACCTTTTTACCTAAGATAGACTCAACAGCTTTTTAGGGAAAGATAGTTGCAGTCTTCCACTACTCTGCATAAAGAATCGCTTCTGATATCACTGCTGCACAGCTTAATTCGAAGGTTTTGTCAATTTTTCCTCAATTCTTTTGCCAGAAGAAATACTTTATCCACTTAATCTAATTAATAATAATCTTAAATACCTCAGTTAGATTACTTCCTAGTAATCAATAGAATGCAGGCCTAGTAACTTTAACCTTTCCTCATAATGTAATCATTTGCTAGCACATGACAGTAAAGAAATTGATAGACTGCCTAGCAACACTGGATGACAGTTTCATGTTGAAATTCCGGTATTAGAAAATTAAATGTTCGACGTGTATTTCACTATTTAAATATGTCTGATTGTCTAATTATATTTGAACAGGTGTTCCTTCCTGCACCATTACTTTGAATGAAAAACTTGCAAATGATTTCGTGGACAGGAAACTGTGTAATGTCATTGCAAACATGTATGCTCTTGGCCATTTTGAAGTAATCAAAATTGGGTGTAAACTCCATTCCAATTCCTGTAAAATCTACGTCATAGAATACGAATTTAAGAAAGCCATGTTGATTTTCAGCAACACCTTAGGCTACAGCAGAGGAATTGCTGTTATTTTTAGCACATCATTACATGAAGAAACTAATTGCAGTATAAATATACTCCATACAACCAAGATTACTTAAATGAAGAAGGATTTGAGAAAGATTTTTCAGTTAAGCTGAGAATTTAGGAAGATAATAATGTGACCTGATAACCTCTTTTAATTTTCAAAGATTGTTATGTTAAGATAAATTGTGCTAGTTTGCTTTTGCCAACTGACATGAGGGCAACAAATTTAAGATAAGCGGAAATGGAATCAGAGTTCTTTTTTTAAAATCTCAAAGAAACTTTACTACATGGAAATCTCAGTCACAAATCATTGTTTAGCAGAATTCACAGGTGGAAAATTCCTCAGAGCTGCTCCTGCTATAACTTATTGTAGTATTGGAGGTTGTGGTCAATGACAAAGCAAGAGTTCTCACAGCTGACCTTGAAACAAGTTTAGGTAAGAATTGTAGTGATCCCTCTGATAAGATTTTCACCTCTGTACTTCTGCAGTTGTACTGCAACTGATTGCGACATTCTTAATTGGGCATATTCAGTATGGAGCAGCAGTTATTAGGCTGTAAAAGTAAATAACCCAATTTAAAAGACATTCACAGCTTCTCAAGTTGGAAAGAAAGAAACTCTCAAATAAAACAACTTTTAAAGTTCCTTCCAGAGATCATATTAAAGATTGGAACATTCTGGGTGAAGATGGAAGCTAAAATATTCAGAACTATTGAAGATTAGCTTCTTAAAGTATGTTAATCATTTTGCAGTACTCATCGATTCTGCATTTCTCTGCAATGCTGTTGCCCGTCACATTAGAGCCATAGGGCTGTACAGCATGGAAACAGACCCTTCAGTCCAACTCGTCCATGCTGACCAGATATCTTAAATTAGTCCAGTCCCATTTGGCCCATATCCCTCCAAACCCTTCCAATTCATATACCCATCCAGATGCTTTTTAAATGTTGTCACTGTACCAGCCTCCACCACTTCCTCTGGCAACTCATTCCATACACCGATCACCCTCTGCGTGAAAAAGTTGCCCCTTAGGTCTGTTTTAAATCCTTTCCCCTCTCACCTTAAACCTATGCCCTCCAGTTTTGGACACACCCCAGGGAAAAGACCTTGCCTATTCACCCTATCCATGCCCCTCATGATTTTATAAACTACTATAAGGTCACCCCTCAGCCTCCAACTCTCCAGGGAAAATAGCCCCATAGTATTCAGCCTCTCCATATAGCCCAAGGTCAAGCCCTCCAATCCAGGCAACATCCTTGTAAATCTTTTTCTGAACCCTTTCAAGTTTCACTACATCCTTCCTATAGCAGGGAGACCAGAACTGCACGCAGTATTCCAAAAGTGGCCTAACCAATATCCTGCACAGCTGCAACATGACCTCCCAATTCCTATACTCAATGCACTGACCAATAAAGGCAAGTATACCAAATGCCTTCTTCACTATCCTTTCTACCTGCAACTCCACTTTCAAGGAATTATGCACCTGCACGACAAGGTCTCTTTATTCAGCAACATTCCCCAGGACCCATTAAGTGTATAAGTCCTGCCCTAATTTGCCTTTCCAAAATGCAGCACTTCATGTTTATTTAAATTAAATTCCACCTGCTCCTCAGCCCATTGGCCCATCTGATCAAGGTCCCATTGTACGCTAAGGTAACCTTCTTTGCTGTGTCACTGCACTTCCAATTTTGGTGTCATCTGCAAACCTACTAAACATACCTTCTATGTTCATTTCCAAATCACACCGGAAGTATTATTACAAATTCAGTTACACTTGTTTAAATAAGATCTTAAGTTTTTTTTATGGGATTTCAAATAGCAGCACAGGAGTGGAATGTTGAAATTTGTACTGAATTAACCTCTGCCAGCTCTAGGGGCAAAAAGGTTTGCTGTGATAACAATACAGCCTACGTCAGAACATTAAGTGACAGACAGCAACTTCAGGATTTCCATAATAATCTCGTTCTGCTCCCCAGCTCCAAAAAGAATCCTGATATTACAGTCAATTTCAGAATGTTAATGACAGGAGTGAGTACTGATACTTCATTATCAACTCTCACTCCTACAAAAAAGGTTCTGCTGCACAAAGTTACAATCTGGGAGTAGAATCAGCTCCAAGGTAACTTTTTGGTCCATGTTTCTTTAATAGTTGATTTTAAAATGCTGGGACATTAGAGGGATAGTGAGAAAACATGAGTTTAAATGGACCAATGAAGAAAAACAGTGGTGGAGATGATGGTAAGTACTTTGTGTGCTGGTACCTTGATTCTATGTCATCTCTTTCAATGGTTTTAATCTCACTTTGGTGACTTCATAATGTCATAATTTATGTACAGTATGAACATGAGTAAGAATAGATCCAGGACGTTCAAATCTCAATTTTTTTTTACTATCAACACAGTTAAATCTTCTTGCCATATTTTTGACACTTGTTTAATAGCAATTAATTAAAATACATGTGTTTGCTACTAAAACTCTATGATGATTTACTGGAGAATAAAAGCAATCATATTTGACAATATTCTCTGATACAAATTCTGGTAAAGGGACAAATCAGGTAATTTTTCAAAAGTAGCCAAGTAAAGAATGATTTCTGTAATGTGATTATTGAAAATATCAACCAAATAGAAACCAAGATACCAAAATTGGTGCTATTTCTACGCATAGCAGCAAAGCAGAATTGAAGCATGCCTTCTTTGTAATGTTAAACTTGGCGCTTTGATAGGTGCAGGACGGATTTAAAGATTTTCAGATTTTTCAGATGTTTTGCTCGAGGAGAGCTGCATCCACTTGTAAAGAGGAAAGATCTTCCTGCAGCTTCGATGTCTTATATCACAAAAGTGATATTTGGGACAGCAGTGTTGTCCATCAAAGCAGCAGTGAGCCTGAAAAGGAAATGCAGCAAACATCAATGGAACAAAATTACATTTGAGTGAAAATGTTCAAGAAAACTTATAAATTTACCAATTCTCCAATGAGTTACGTTTACAATAAATACACTCTCATGTAGTTTTGGGAATAGAAACAAAGTGATGGACAAAACTAGCAGGTCGAGCAGCAAACGTGAAGAGAAAACAGTTAACTGGCTGAATTTTTTTGGCTAAGTCTGAGTTGCGTCAAGTTTTTTTTGGAGGGTTGGTTGCCGCAAGGCCTTGTGGGTTTTCTTGTTCTATCTTACCAAACCCACCTCCTTAATTGCCTACTTATGGCATCTGTCAATTCCGATTTCTGCCCCATCCTAGCCTGCCGTTTCCAGAACAACTTGCCACTTAGCAGATATCCTGGAATTCACCAGTATCCCTTTTGCTCAGACCATCTTTAAAAGACTGTTGCATACCGGGACAAGCACCATGACTCCTGCGCATTTCTTGACATTTGCCCTGAACGTGGCAGACAGAGCGGAAATCAGTGCCATGCTTTGCAGACAGGGTCCCTAAGGTCTTGTTGGATAGGGGTGGTGCCATTGCAGAACTTCCGTTTCCTTCAGGGCCTGCCGTAGAGATCCTGCCAACTTGGTCCAAGGTTGACTCAGGTCAGTGCAGTCTCAGCTGTCTTGATAAACGCACAAAACTGCAGGAAGAAGATCAATGTGCTTCTCTCCTCCATCAGGCTAAGTGCCACCATTTTCTCTCTGATACCTCATACTCACTCTCTTCTATTGTACCCATTCCCTACTACTCTCAAAATGCCTGTGACATTTCTCCTGCTCACTCTCACCCAACACAATCCCCAACAAGACTATCTTTGTGTTGCCTACTCGCTTGCTCAGAATACTTCTCCACCTTCACCAAAAGTCAGAAATCATTGGTTATAATCCAATAGGTTTATTTGAAAACGCAAGCGTTCGGAGCCTTAGTCCTTTTTCAGGTGTTAGTGAGAGAGGTAGTATCAGATACAGAATTTATAAGCTGTTAAATCTTAAATCAGTTAGAAGGTTTTAACCGATTAATATGTATATGTAAATCCCTGAATTCCTTTCAGTCACAGTCCTGAGTGAACTAAAGGTTTTCAGTGTAAAGAAGAGGTGACATTTTAGGCCAGACAATGCATGTTAGGTGTGAGACCTTGCTTAGAGTCTGTTTGTGTTTTAGTTTGGAGTCAGACTAGTTTTATTTCGAAAGTAAGGTTTTATAAAACACCGTATTGACTGACTGTCTATACATTGTGTGTTTTTTGAACAAAATAAAATGTATCTGCAAATATAAATTCATCCCATAGATTCACGTGTGTATGCACACACAGTGAGGGGGGAAGAGAGAGTGTGCATTTGTGAGGGGGGGAGACAGTGCATGCATGGGAGGGGGGATTGTGTCTATGTGAGTGTGTAGGAGGGAGTGAGACTGTCTGCTTGCATGAGGGAGAGAGCGAGTGTGTGGCCCTCACGCGCGTACACTCTCTCTCCCCATCTCCCTCACATTCCCTCTCCCTCTCCCTCACACACACACACACGTAAATCTATGGGGTGAATTTATTTTTGCAGATACATTTTATTTTGATCAAAAAGCACACAATTTATAGACAGTCAGTCAATATGGTGTTTTATAAATTCCTACTTTAGAAATAAAACCAGTCTGACTCCAAACTAAAACACAAACAGACTCTAAACAAGGCCTCACACCTAACAAGCATTCTCTGACCTAAAATGTCATCTCTTCTTTACCCTGATAAAACCTTTAGTTCTCTCAGGAATGTGACTTGAAAGGAATTCATGGATTTACATACACATATTAATCAATCAAAACCTTCTAACTGATTAAAGATTTAACAGCATCTTAGGTTTCTTTAGTACATCCTCATCCATGGTGTGAACCTTTGATCTTTTACTTATAAATTCTGTGTTAGATACTACCTGTTTCACTAACACCTGAAGAAGGACTGAGGCTGAAAGTTTGCATTTTCAAATAAACCTGTTGGACTATAACCTGGTGTCGTGAGAGTTCTGGCCTTGTCCACCCCAGTCCAATACCGGCACCTCCACATATGACTTTCACTGAAAGTAGCTGAGCCATTGACTTTCATCTCCTGTAATACTTGCCTTGCTCTCATTTCCAGGAGGAGAATAGCCCACAATAGTGCATAAAGAGTCAAGATGGGTGGTGTGACACCCATTATTCAGCTCCTCATCCTTTCTGACTGCCCAGCACAGGGCCTGGACTAGTATCAGAGGTGGACCTTGACTTACTGTATTGAGACCTTATGAATGAATATTATCCTCTTATCTTGACTGATAACTATGACAAGCTTCTAGGCTTTGTGTCTACACTAAACAGTAATATGGTCTGGTACCACTGGCTGATGGGTAAAGAGCAAAATGCCAAGGCAAGGCAATACAAAGCAGAAATGCTGTGAACACCAGGTATGCTGAGAGAAAGTGAGCAAAATGTCGTTGCTTCAGCATTACAATGATAGTTGCCACAGACTTACATTGGTATTGAAAGACTCATTTATTGGGAATTCTAAAACCTGTATGATCGTTAATATTTCACCTAGTCACGTAGCCACAGAACACACACTGAGCAATTATCGTGTTAGGCCCCTCATGAATTTTATATGCCTCAGTGAGATTGCCACCATTCATTGTTCTAAACTCTTGGGAAAATGGACCTAGTCTAGCCATGTCAGGAACCTACATTATATTCCTTCTGAGACAATTATACCCTTCTTTTAGGTAAGACATTCAACACTGTACAGAGTACTCCACATATAATATCACCAACAACCTGTATAATTACAGCATGCCTTTTTTAAGCTAACATACAATTTGTTTCCTTATTGTTTATTGTAGTTCTATGTTAACTTCCAGTGCTTTGTGGACAAGGACACTCACATCTAACCTACCCCTTAAATATATTTTAGTGCATGGGCAAATTGTTTATGTAGGTGGGCCTTTTTCTCTTGTGTAGTGAGGCACATGTAATTTAAAGGGACTGACTTATGTGTGACCTGTGCAGGCATTACTGGGTTGCTCTGTGGCCACATAGTTCCCTAGGAACATTTTTGATTATTGATATTTCCCGGTCTTTCATCATTTAAATTTGTATTGCTTTTTTATTTTACCTACTGAAGTGGATTTTCACACTTCAAATTATTTCTACAATTATTGCTCAATCGTTTAACCTTTGTCTGTCACTTCGTAGTCTCTGTGCATTCTCACCACTTACTTTCCCACTTGACTTTATATCATCAGCAAACCTCTGTTTCTGCATCGGTGATTGATATTGATTTTAAACAACTAAGTCTTGAGCACTGATCCTTGTGAGATTTGATAGTTAAACTTTCTAATCATGAAAATGACTAATTTGTTCCTACCCTTTATTTTCTATCCATTAACCAATCCTCATCCATTCCAATATATTATCCTAATCCAAAGAGCCCTCATTTTATGCAATAACCTCTTGTGTGATTACTTGTGAATGCTTTTTGAAAATCCACATATGCAGCATCCACTGGTGGTTCTTATCTAGCTGCTGGTTATAGCCTGTAAAGGCTCTAACAGTTTTGCCAAAACAGGAGTTTCCTTCCAGAAATCTGTGTTGATTCTGCCCAATCTGAAGTGAATTGGAATATTAGGCTAGGAGGCATGTCATTAGAGATGCATCTGCAGACATTTAAAAGGATCTTTCAGTATAATCATATTAACTTCATTCCTACTATAAAGAAAAGTTCCAAGTGGAGGTCCCACTAAATGTGGTTAACGAAAGAAAGCATCAAACTTAAGGAAAAAGCATATAACTGGGCAAAGGTCCGTGGCAAGTCAGATGACTGGTCAGAATGTAAAGAAAGGCAGAGAATAATTAAAAGGTTAATTGGAGGAAGAATTTTGAGCACGAGAGGAAGCTAGCTAGAAATGGGGGAAAAAAAAATTCTATAGGTTTCCAGAAAAGAAGATTAAATTCAATACTCCTGATCCTAAAGCAGGTGACAATTGGGGGAGTTAATAGTAGATAATAAAGAAATGGTGCATGCAATAAATAAATATTTTATGTCTGTCTTGATAATAGAGAATACAAAGATACCTATAAATCAGAAGGTTGAAGGAAGAGATTAACTTGGTAAAATTTATAATCACTAGGAAAGTGGTACTGACCAAACTGATGGAGCTGTGGGTTGATAAGTCTTTGAGTACAGGTGGATTTCATCCTAGGGTCTTAAGGGTTTGACTAAGAAGTAGGAGATGCATTAGTGTTGATTTTCCAAAATTCAATTTGTTTGGTTCTGGAAACATTAGACTGGAAAGCAGCAAATATAACTCCTCTATTCCAAAAGGACAGAAGGTAGTAAACAGGAAATTTGTAGCCAGCTAAGATGATTTATGTCATGGAGAAGATGTTTGAATTGATCATAAAGATTTATAACTTGCAATAGCACTTGGAAAAACTTGAGATAACTGGGAAGAGTCAGCATGGTTTTGTAAAAGGAAAATCATATTTAACCAATTTATTGGCATTCTTTGAAGAAATATCATGTGCTGTGGACAAAAGGGAGACTATAAATGTACTGTACTTGGATTTCCAGAAGGCATTTGACAAGGTTATGCATAAAAGAATATTACATAACGTAGGCACTGACAAGTAAGAGTGACATACTAACATCGGTGCATTGATATAGGAGTTGGGAAGTCATGTTGCAGCTGTACAGGGCATTGGTTAGGCCACTTTTAGAATACCGCATTCAATTCTGGTCTCCACGCTATAGGAAGGGTGTTGTGAAATTTGAAAGGGTTCAGAAAAGAGTTACAAGCATGTTGCCAGGGTTGGGAGAAGCTGAATAGGCTGGGGCTGTTTTCCCTGGAGCGTCGGAGGCTGAGGGATGACCTTATAGAGGTTTCTAAAATCATGAGGGGCATGGATAGGGTGAATAGTCAAGGTCTTTTCCCCAGGGTAGGGCAGTCCAAAACTAGAAGGCATAGGTTTAAGGTGAGAGGGGGAAGAATTAAAAAGGACCTAAGGGGCATCTTTTTCACGCAGAGGGTGGTGTGTGTATGGAATGAGCTGCCAGATTAAGTGGTGTAGGCTGGTACAATTCCGACATTTAAAAAGCATCTCGATGAATAGGAAGGGTTAAGGGTTTGGAGGGATATGGGCTAAATGCTCGCAGGTGGAACTAGATTAATTTAGGATATCTGGTTAACATGGACAAGTTGGACCGAAGGGTCTATTTCCATGCTGTACATCTCAATGACTCTATGACTCTAAGTGCAGAAGCACCCTGTAAGTGAATCGGAGGTGTGCCATGAGGGGTTTGTAGAAGCTGGCATATATTGGATGCAGATATGGGGCGCTTGTGACTGTGCCCATGGAGTATGTCCTGAAATATTGGTGCCTAGTTTCCAACACTGAAGCTGTTCAGAGCAAACAGTGTGCTGAATTTGCCAGGTACTTGTTCTGATTTCTTTGTTGGGTTTCTCAAGATCTAGCTTGTTTGACAAGTTTAAGATGAGAGCCTGAATATTAATGAGATGAGTATTATATAGTTGTACTTTTACCACCTCATATGTTATAATTCTAGGAAGGATGTGAATGCATTGGAGAAAGTGCAGAAGCAATTTACAATTATGGTTTTGAAACTAAAGTGCTTCAGTTAGGAGGATACACTGAAGAAGTTGAGACTGTCCACCCTCAAGTGAAGAAGTCTATTTCAGTACAGATTCCAGCATCTGCAGTAATGTGCCCCTACATTATGTCTAAGAGGAGGCCTGCTGAGGTTTTCAAAATCATGAGTTGGCCTGGAAAGAACAGATAGGGGGAAAATATTCACACTTATATAAAGAACAAGAATGACAGGGTCTATGGTCAAAGTGATTTGCAGAAGAGGCAAAGGTGATATGCCAAAATCCTTTTTCACTCAGCAAGTAGTTAGGATATGGAATGCAATGCCAATGGTGGTTCAATTGAGGCATTCAAGAGGGCATTGGACGATTATTTGGATAAAAATAATGTGCAAGGCTATGGGGAAAAGCAAAAGATTGGCATTAGGTAATTATGCTTATTTGAAGAGCTAGTGCAGACGTCACGGGCCAAATGGCCGCCTTCTGCACTATAAGACCATTAAGGCATTTAAGAAGCAATAATAACGATTAAATGGTATTTTGTCACTACTTAACAAGTAACTTGCCATGCCACTTGTGAAATCTGTAAAAGATGGAATGAAATGATCTCATTGTCGACGTGGGCCTTGCTGCATTTGTTGCCCAATTCTGCCACACATAGGCCACATTGCTCAGAATCTTATAAGATTCCGTGCAATGTTTCAAGTCCAATATGATACTTCTTCAGAATTCCTGTTCCGAAGCTGCCAGATCTGCTGAGTTTCTCCAGAACTTTTAAAGATATATATATTTCATATCTCCAGTGTCCACATATTCTGTTTCTATTTGAGAAAACTGTTTTTACATTTGTGACAAGGGGGAAGATTGGTCTGCAACACATCCAAATCATTGAAAACATTTTCATGACAACAAATTGGAATTCATCTTAGACTCCTTGTATTAAGTATTTGTGACAATCATATACATGTAATACATTGATTCATAATAAGTCAGAATTTTGTATACTTTTACAAAGCAATAGCAGTTTTCTTTTGAACTGCTTTTAATCTTGTGGACACAGTCATTTGAATCTGAGGATTCATTCAAAGATAAACAAGTACTGTTTTAACAAATACACAGTCCGTGCATCAATTGTGACTTACATTATGATATGGACAGCATCCCCATTTTTTGTTCCACAACCTACAGCATGTACTTCCAGCTTTACAAACATGTGTGTCATCACAATAAACGACCGAGCCATCACTACTGAGGCTGCTTTGCAGAGCTTCTGACCAAATCATTGCAGGTTCCTTGATGAGCCATGGTATACTGGCACTATCCCGTACACAACTTAACCTCTGAAGGTCACATCTGGTGCCATAAGGACAGCAGTGGATACCATCGTTACAACAAACGGCCTATTGACAATAAAGACATAAGTAATTATTTTATTATTACAGCAGGTAACTTACACTTCCCTTTGATTACTCTTTGGAAAAACATTATGGAAAGGGAAAGGGAAAGTAAGGAAACAAGGGAAAGTAAGGAAACAAAAGAAAGCCATTTAACCCATGCTAATTCTCTGTGCATTGTAGTTTCACAACTTTATCCCATAGCCCTGCAAGTTTATTTCCTTCAAGTGTCCATCCAATTTCTGTTTGAAATTATTGATCGTATGATCATATATCATAGCCTAGTGGTATTACCACTGGACTGTTAATCCAGAGACCCAGGTAATGTTCTGGGAACCCAGGTTCGAATCCTGTCATGGTAGATGGTGGAATTTGAATTCAATAAATATGTGGAATTTAGAGTCTAATGATGGCTACAAATCCATTGTCGATTGTCGGAAAACCCATCTGATTCACTAATGTCCTTCAGGGAAGGAAACTGCCATCCTTACCTGGTCTGGCCAACACGTGACTCCAGACCCACAGTGATGTGGTTGACTCTTAATTGCCCTCTGGTCAATTAGGGCAATAAATGCTGGCTTAGCCAGTGATGCCCTCATCCCATGAACGAATAAAAAGCTTCCACAACCATTGTAGGTGGTCAGTACCATGCATTAAATAATTATAGTGCAATGGCTTGCTATCTTTGAACTGCAAAGAAATCCATTCAGATTGAATGTAGCTTGAAAGGACTCATACTAATGGCCTGGATGAGATCACCATTCTGTATCAGAATAAACCTTTGCAAATACTAGGTAAATCAGTAGTTTTCTATTTTCGTCTATCTCCAATCTCCTGCTTTTGAACCAGGAAAATTGTAAGATCTCGTTAAGAGGGAGAAGATAATGGAAAGCTAATTCCTTTCCACTGAGATTATGCACAACAGAATATAAATGTATCAACATCATTTGGATTTCAGTTTTACAGGTTGTAACCTATCCCAGGAGGAGGACAACACTGCATGACCTACAGCAGATTAAATCCGTTTGATATCTTTAGACTACCGAGTTGTCCCTTGAAACACTGGTACTCAAAACTGTCCTCAGTTCAAACATCTTCCTTTAAACTGGAACATTGGAATACTTCAATGCCATGAGTGACAAATGGAAGCCATCTGTGTAGTCATACAGACAGCACATCGCTCCACTCTAAAAATGGACAGTTTTAATTGGTTTTTCTATTCACTAATGGGATGTGGGTATCGCTGGATAAGCCAGCAATTACTTTCCGTACCTAAATTGCCGAGATAGTGGAAGTGAGCCGTCATCTCAAGCCACGACTGTCCTCCTCCTGCTGTTAAGAAGGGAATTCTCGAACTCTGTCCTAATGACAGTGAAGGAACGGCAATACAGTTTCAATTCAGGATGATGTCTGGCTTGGAGTGGAACTTGAGAGTGATGATGTTGCCATACATCCGCTGTCCTTGTCCTTCCAGTTGGTGGACGTCATGGAAGGATTAAAGGAGCCTCATTGAGTATAGCAGTGCACCTTGCAGATATACACCGCTGCCAGTGTGCCCCTGGTGGAGGAGTGAATGTTGAAGGTGGTAAATGGGGTGCCAATTAAGCAATCTATGTCCTATTAGGTGTTCAACTTCTTGAATGTTGTTGGAGCTGCACCATCCAGGCAAGTGGAGAGTATTCAATTATATTCCTGATGTGCCTTGCAGAAGAAGGTAGACATTCAGAAGTCAGGAGGGCAGTTACACACACAGATTACCCAACCTCTGGCTGCTCTTTTAGCTACAATAATTTCATGGCTGTCCTTGTTCAATTTCTCATCAATGGTAACTCTTTATATGTTAATTGTGTGTGTGTTTGGAGGTGGGGGGGAGGTGTTGGAGGATAGATTCATTAAATATGGGACCATGGAGACATTCTATCTTGTCACAGATAGCCATTGTCTTACACCTAAATAGCGAGTAAAATTCACACCACACATCAGCCCAAGTCTGAATGTTATTCAGGGCATGCTCCACATGGGCATGGACTGCTTCAATATCTGAAGAGGCATGAATGATACTGAACATCATGTAATTATCAGTGAACATCCCCACTTCTGGCCTTATGATGCAGGCATGCTCATTCATAAAGCAGCTGAAAGTGTTTCGGGGTAGGACACCAGCCTGATGATCTCCTGCAGTGATGTTTTTGGGTAGAGATGCCTGGCCTCCAACAACCACAACAATTTTTTTGTGCCAAGTATCCCTCTGACTTCCACGATGAGAAATTTTGGTGTCTAGTTTGTTCGGTGCAGTTGGCAGGATAGGAAACTGCATATTAACGAGGCAAGGTGTGCTGTTAATAACATCCCAACAAGCAATAATCATCTTTAACAGGCAACTCGCCACACCCTCCAGGAACCTCCCCTAACAGCTGGAACTTAGTTAAAAGATGCAACATGTTGCTCCCAATATCAAATAGACCTTGCTGGATGTTGTGCAATTCTGCTTCATTTCTGGCCACAGCCCATGTCATTCAAGACCCTATAAAATTCCATTGGTTAATTATTTTCTTTCCTCACAGCTTAGGTTAGTGAGTACTTGCTGCATTTTCTGTTTTTATTTCCAATTTCTAGCATCTGCAGTATTTTGCTTTTATGCAAATGCTCTTTCTTGATTTCAAAATTATACATCAGCCCAAGAGACAAAGAATCAATTAACATTCATCAAGCGTATCACAAAATTCTACCTGTGGACATTTCCTGGCAGTCTCGTAATCTGGAACTCTGTGGAACCAGGTAGAAATTATAATGCTGAAGAGGAATGTAGGGGATAAGAAAGATGTAGGGGTGTGTATTAGGGGAAATCTTCAACTAGATCACTGGCTGACTCCATAAAATTCCTCACATTGTTTATATCCTCTCAGCAAGTAATTTGTGTAACTTTAAATAAACTTCATCTACATTTAGTTAGGTACCAAGAAGGAATTTAAAGTATTTTAATACTTTACAAATATGTGTACATGTCATGTTGAATGCTCACAAGAAAGTATTGTGGAGGTGATTTAAATTTAAAGGGCAGCATTTACATTTCAGTGATACAGTTTATAACCCCCACCTGAAGTAGTGGGCAGCAACTCCAACTTCCGGTCCGTGTTTTACAACAAGTATTTCCATTCGGACAGTAATGCGTTTGATCACAACGGACTGAGCTATCACTGTTGACACTGGTGCTCAGAGCAGTTTCCATTTCAAGTGTGTTGCCTTCCATTGGAATACTGGGATATTTTACTGCTGAGGATGATGGATCTGTGTCGTCTTGTGGGCAGCACATTGACCCACCGTAACAACAGACAGTCTAAATATAAACCAAGAAATAACACTATGAACATTTTGTAAATTCAATTCAGTAGATGCATATAAGAACCATTAATTAGTGCTTAAAAATATATTTAAAACACAGAAATCGTCCTGTGATATTGCCATGTAACTACTGAAAGGGCCAGTTAATTTATAACTGAGTTGCTTATGTTGCTATGATAGTTTTTGTGCTGCCAAATTATTCCACTGCAACCCAACTCAGTTCCCTGGCTTGGAGGTCATTAAATCCACATGGGCTTCCATCAGAATTGATGGCAGCTAGAGGGGCCTCCCAGTGGAGCACAGGAAGCTTTAGTGCCGTTGTGGCAGCAGTGTCATCCAAAGAGACAGTAGGAACCTTACACAGCCAGCTGCGACCCAAAACAGAATAGTTATCACATTCTGATGAATCAGCTAACACAAAATAATTTAATGCTGTGCATTTGAGTAAAAAGATCCAATAAATATTTCTCCAAAGGCAAAATGTTCAATTTTAATCATGGTGTCATAAACCAAAACTGGGAAAAACTACAAGGTTTGTTTTCAATAGCATTGGATATAGCTGTCTCGTGCCAGTAGGAAGTTCAAAATCTATCTTATATGGTGCTTGAGTATCACATTTACAATCTTTTATACACCTGTTTTGAAATCAAGAATTTTATTTGCAAGGGTCAAAGAAAGAACCAATGACCTACAAATTTAATCAGATCCATTGAAACTGAATTAACCCAAAAGGAAACAACAATAAAATGAGCAGTGAATTAGCATAAAAATCACATAATTCCATATTGCCAATTGATTGCTCTTAATCTGTAATCCCAGAAAAGAGTAATTCATCTGATTTAGCTTTGAACAGTAGCTGTTATTCAAATGTTGTCTTTCCACTGCAGGCACATACAAAGTCTTCAATTCAGCTAAAATCTGGAATTAGAAGTGTAATGCTGACCATGAAATCATTGTCAATTTTCATTAAAACACAGCTGGTTCACTGATGTCCTTTACAGAAGTCAACCTGCCGTCTTTACCTGGTTGGTGCTAAATAGGAGCTCAGATCCACAACAACACAGCAATGTGGTTGTTATCTCATGTTGGTGAGGCCCTGACCTTCCAGATTCCCTTCTTGACAGACTTGCCACAAACCCAATTGGCTTCACACCTCCCTAGGTCCCCATCCAATCTGTCTACATGATCCTGCACCTGACCATCTTTCTCACTCCAGCCCTTGACATATGGAGGTGACCATGCCTGGTGTCAGTATGATACACTGTATCTGCCATGAAGGCAAGCTCCTGACCACAGGCAAACTTTCACTCCTGCATTACTCCATTCTCACCACATATCCCCACTTTACTGTATCCTCTCTTACAACTACAGTTGCCCCCCTCACCCCCTGTCACAACTGTAATTCTCCCAACCTGCAGTCCCCAAACCCCATGAATACATTCCCGAGTCTCTTTTCCATGATAGTGGTACCGCTTGGAACAGTATTGGAGGCTGCCTTGACTTACTATGTTGTGAACCACTTACTGATGGGAGCCTGCATGAACTTTGGTGAAGACTACATCCCAAGACTTAAGACATGGCTGCTTGTTTTCTGCACAGGTGTTTCCCACAGAAGCTGCTGGTACATGATGCAGAGGTGAGATTGATATCGTACCCTGCTGTACAGCAAGATGTATGTCCCCTTGAGTGAGGTTTCCTGACCAGCAGGGCGAACTGCCTGGTCATGTGACATGTTAGTTGGCACAACAATGCAAGGTGAGTCAAGAATGCTACGAGACTGTGGTTAGTCACTAAGTGAATGGGTACAAAGAGAAATAGCTAGATGTCCTGCGATGCAGCCTGGTCTAATTTGTAAGCTGGGTACCTTTCCTTGAACAGAAAATGTCCAAGTAATAGTCTTTCATTGCCAGTTGTTGGTGTGCTCTGCAATATAGGTCTGTCCTTCCTAAATGACCTGCAAATGGATTGGATGGATGCCAAGAGGATTCTGGTTTGTTGGCAAAGATTTGATGCAATGGTCTGTGTTCGAGGGGTGCATGCAGCTAGTGTCCATGGACTGTGTCCCAAGATGCTGTTCCCTGGTGATCAAATGGAGGCTCCTAGCAACCAGTGGCCAGCAGAAGTCACCAGCTACCCCTCTGACTTCCATGGCGAGAAATATCAGAAATTAAAAAGATCACAAACAATCAATAATCCTCTTTAACAGGCAACTTTCCACTCCCCTGCAGCAATATCTGTCAACAACCAGGACATAGTTAAAAGATGCAACAAGTTGATCCCGACTTCAAAAAGACCTCTCTGATGTCATGCAATTCTGCTACATTTCCAGTCATAGCCCATGTCATTTGGGATCCTATAAAATTCCATTGGTTATTTGTTTTCTCTCCCCTCAGCTGCCATCTGAGGTTTGGCGAGTACCTACTACATTTTCTGTTTTTATTTCCAATTTCTAGCATCTGCAGTATTTTGCTTTTATGCAACAGCTCCTTCTTGATTTCAACATTATACATCAGCCCAAGAGACAAAGAATCAATTAACATTCATCAAGCATATCACAAAATTCTACCTGTGGACATTTCCTGGCAGTCTCATAATCTGGAACTCTGTGGAACCAGGTAGAAATTATAATGCTGAAGAGGAATGTGTGGGTATGTATTAGGGGAAATCTTCAACTAGATCACTGGCTGACTCCATAAAATTCCTCACATTGTTTATATCCTCTCAGCAAGTAATTTGTGTAACTTTAAATAAACTTCATCTACATTTAGTTAGGTACCAAGAAGGAATTTAAAGTATTTTAATACTTTACAAATATGTGTACATGCCGTGTTGAGTGCTCGCAAGGTAGTATTTCTGTATTGTGGAGGTGATTTGAATTTAAAGGGCGGCATTTACATTTCAGTGATAGTCTGTAACCCCTACCAGAAATTGTGGGCAGCAACTCCAATCTCCGGTCGCTGTTCTACAACAGGTGTATCCATCCAGACAGTAATGTGTATGATCACAATAGACTACTGAGCTATCACTGTTGACATTGGTGCTCAGAGCAGTTTCCATTTCAAGTGTCTTGCTCTCCACTGAAATACTGGGATATTTCAGTGCTGAAGATGATGGATCCGTGTCATCTGTGTGATGTCTCCCACAGTGCTTGGTCCCATTAAAACACTGGACATTCTATGTATAAAATTAGGAAACCATCATTGTTAATATTTTGTAAAGCCAATTCATTAACTTATATACATTATATATATATTAGAACACAAGCTAGAGCTTATCAATCAAAACCCTAAAGTTGTCTTGTGTGACATTGCTATACTACTATTACTGTAATGAATGTCAGTCATCTTTTTTTATGGAGTAATGCCGCTGTTAAAACAGTTGACAAAAAATTTCACACTCATGCATTACACATTGCTATGATAGTTTTGTTCTGCCAAATTGCCCCACTGTCACCACTGCAACCCAACACAGTTTCCTAGATCAGGGACCAAAGCAAATTCACAAGGGTTCACAATATGAACTAAATGGAGCCTCTCAGTGTGACGGGAGATAATGGTCCTGAAGCAGGGATGTCACCTAAAGAGGTAGCAGGAGACCATAAAAGGGCAAATACATCCCAGAGTATGAAAGGGTGAAAGAATTCAATAAATATTCCACCAATCTTGATCAAATGGGTCAATGGGCTGAAAAATGGCATATGGAGTTCAATCTGGATAAATGTGAGGTATTGCATTTTGGTACAATAAACAAGGGTAGGGCTTATACAATTAATGGTAGGGCCTTGGCTAGTGTTGTAGAACAGAGGGACCTAAAGGTTCAGGTCATAATTCTTTGAAGTTTGCATCACATATAGACAGGCACTTGGCATGCTTGCCTTTATTGTTCAGTCCTTTGAGTATAGGAGTTGGTGTGTCATATTGAGGTTGTACAGGTCACTTCTGGAATATAGTGTCCAGTTCTGGTTGCCTAGTTATAGTAAGGATATTATTAAGCTGGAGAGGGTTCAGAAGTGATTTACCAGGATGTTGCCGGGTATGGAAGGTTTGAATTATAAAGAAAGGCTGGATAGGCTGGGACTTTTTTGATAGGAATGTAGGAAGTTGAGAGGTGACCTTAAAGAAGGTTATAATGAGGGGTATTGATAGAGTTAATGGTAGTTGTCTTTTTGCTAGGATGGGGGATTTCAAGACTAGGGGGCATATTTTTCAGCTGAGAATAGAGAGATTTAAAAAGACATTTGGGGCAAATTTTTTTTACACAGGTGATTCATGTGTGAAACGAACTTCCTGGTGAACTGGTGAATGTGGGTACAAAGTTTAAAAGACAACTGGATAAGTACATGAATAGAAAAGGTTTCGAAGTATATGAGGCCATGAGCAGGCAGGTGGGACTAGTTTAGTTTGGGATTATGTTCGGCATGGACTGGTTGGACCGAAGGGTCTGTTTCCGTGCTCTATGACACAATACCAAGAATGGTGAATGATTGTAACAGTACAATTAATCTAAAGATTGGAAAAAAATCTATGTGCAGTTTTCTTTTTAAACTGATATTGCTCCTCTGCCTTCCATCAGGAGTTGAAAATCTGTTGCAATGAGCCAAAAAAAACAGACCATATGTGGTATTTCAGAATATAAAACACTAAATCAAGCAACCACATATTCACAGTCTCTTATAATCCTGTTTTGAAATAAAGACATGCTGTAGCTTTGGTAAATAATCCATAAATTATGAGTAGCTGACAAAAAAAACACAATGAAAATGTTTGGATGGTGTTTCTTCAAAGGTATAGTTCTCAAAGATATGAAGTATTTTGTGGATTACGTATGTGGTTCAATATGGTTGCTGATCTAAATGGCCACTGAAAGTGTGTCTTTGTTGCAATGGGAGCTTCCAGGCCTCAGTGTTTAATCCAGGTATTTATATTTGATTTCATTATTGTATTGGTTTTAATCAGATAACAGTTTAGAAAGGATTAATACTGAAGACTGCATCAAGATCCATGCAATTTGATGATGTCCTAAGGACCTGGGTGGGGAAAGGCATCTTGAAGAAGTCAGACTTGCCCTGTCTAGATCTCTACAGTTTTTGTAACAATGTTTTATATTACCAAAGTTATTTGCACTCAATCGCTAGCATGCAATAAACTGGAAGTAACTGCACAGAGGCCGGTATCCCGTCACCAAGTCGCCCTTTATTTACATGTGCGCTGTACATGTGCAGTGACCAGCCAGTTCAAACCCAGTCCCCCTAGACAGAAGAGACTTTCTGAATTTCCTGTTTATATCTGCCAGCCAGGACTCCCTGATTGGCCCAGGTCAACAACCCTAATCAAAAATCTCAGTCAATGAGATCCACCTGGCCATGGTTCTAATCACTACAAACTTACATCTTGTTAAGACAAGAGCCTCATCTATTGGATTATGAAGACATTTAAATGTTACCACTCTAGTCACTAGAAGAAGCAGCTTGTCCAAAAAGGATGGAAACAAATTTAACTTACAGTGGCCAAGAATCTAGCTAGCTCATACAACATGGTGTCAGCAGTGGTCATTTGAAGATTGAATTTAGCTACACGTTTACAACATACTTCACTTAAAGGACAATGAATACAGTACCATCAAGCTTACTCACAAATTCTACCTATGGAAGTTTCATAGATAGTATATGCTGGAACCAGGCAGAAATTAAAATGTTGAAGCATAGATAAAGTTGTTTGCATTAGGCTGTGAGAAACCAAATTTGATCACTGTCCAACTCTACAAAATTCCTCTTCTTTTTTCTATCATCTCAGCTAATAAATTGTGAGAAAGATACCATAAATCCTGGAGTACACATTTACCTCAGTCTACTGGGCAATTCCATTTCTCCAGCCCCCAAAATCATGCTTTTTCACATACTGGGCATATAAATCAATGTTCCCTTTTAGCTGCAACATGCCAGATTTGTATTAGTAATGAGCCTCAAATTTTCATTCCACAGATGCTTTACTTACTGGTACCTAATCATCAGATGCAAGGGATTAGCCTGGTAAAATAAGCTATACTGAGAAGATTACTGGGAGTTTAAGACACAGCCATATTTTGTATTATATGTCAATGAAACTTAAAAATGTTGAACGCCGCACCCCCCAACCGCCCACCTCCCCATACCCTAACAGGCAGTTTATTTGTATACTAGGAGTTTAACTAACCTTTTCTGAAGGGGTTTTTAAGCTTCAAAGGGTATATTGAATGGCAGGTGGGCCATATGACCTACTTCTGCTCCAATTTTTTTTTGTCGTTCATATCTTGACTTCTGTGGTATGGTTACAGGAAAAGGGTCTTGAATGGGCTCACGGGGAAAGGGTCAACACCTTGGACAGGGGCTGTAGTTCTCATAGGCCTCCCCCATTCCAGATGCTTACGTCAGTGGTGGGCACATTATTGGAAAGGGCTCTGAGAGACAGGATTTATGATCACTTGGAAAGGCACAGTTTGATTCGTGATAGTCAGCATGGATTTGTGAGGGGTAGATCATGCCTCACAAACCTTATTGAATTCTTTGAAGAGGTGACCAAACACGTGGATGAAGGTGGAGCAGTGGATGTGGTATACATGGATTTAAGTAAGGCGTTTGATAAGGCTCCCCATGGTAGGCTCATGCAGAAGGTAAGGAGGCATGGGATAGGGGGAAATGTGGCAGATTGGATTCAGAATTGGCTGACCCTTAGAAGACAAAGGGTGGTAGTGGACGGAAAATATTCAACATGGTGCTCAGTTACGAGTGGTGTACCACAAGGATCTGTTCTGGGTCCTCTTCTATTTGTGATTTTTGTAACTGATTTGGATGAAGGAGTGGAAGGGTGGATTAGAAAGTTCGCGGACAATATGAAGGTGGGTCACGTTGTGGACAGTGCGGAGGGCTGTTCTAGGTTACAAAGGGACATTGATAGAATGCAGAGCTGGGCTGAGAAGTGGCAGATGGAGTTTAACCCTGAAAAGTGTGAGGTGATTCATTTTGGAAGGACAAACTTGAAAGCAGAATACAGGGTTAACGGAAAGATTCTTGGCAGTGTGGAGGAGCAGACGGATCTTGGGGCTCATGTTCACAGTTCCCTGAGAGCTGCCACCCAGGTGGATAGAGTTGTTAAGAAGGCGTATGGTGTGTTAGCTTTCATTAATAGAGGGATTGAGTTCAAGAGCCGTGAAGTTATGCTCCATCTATACAAAAGCCTGGTCGGCCACATCTGGAGTATTGTGTCCAGTTCTGGTCACCTCATTACAGGAAAGATGTGGAAGCATTAGAACAGGTGCAGAGGAGATTTACCAGGATGTTGCCTGGAATGGAGGGAAGGTCTTACGAGGAAAGGTTGAGAGAGTTACAGCTTTTCTCTTTAGAACGACGAAGGATGAGAGGTGACTTGATAGAGGCGTACAAAATGATCAGAGGTATAGATAGAGTAGACAGCCAGAGACTTTTTCCTACGGTGGAGGTAGCTTTTACGAGGGGACACAGTTTTAAAGTGAAAGGAGGTAGATATCAGGGAGGTGTCAGAGGTAGGTTCTTTACTCAGAGAGTGGTAGGGGCGTGGAATGCATTGCTGGAGAGGGTAGTGGAGTCAGCCTCATTAGGGGCATTTAAGCGGCTATTAGATAGGCATATGGATGATAGTATAAGGTAGCGGTGGAGGTTAGATAGACCTTAGGTTTAGGGTAAAAGTTTGGCACAATATCGTGGGCCGAAGGGCCTGTACAGTGCTGTACTGTTCTATGTTCTATGCTTTACAAATGAATCCCCCGAAGCCCACACGTAACACCAAGTGCGTTTGTTTGTTGTGCTCACTACACAGTGAGCACTTGCCATTGGATTAATACCAGTGGCAGTAGGGCAAGGCTTTTAAATTCTGCCCAGTGAAACCGTGTTTAAGCTACCATAAGATATGGGTACCCACTTCTGTTCTGCATACCAAACCATGTACATATATCGAGATGGCAATTACAGTAAATTCTTGAGCTGTCAGTAATGGTTCTCATTAGATGTTCAATCTCCATTTTAAAGTTTCTCAGCGCTTCTAGACATAATTTACTACGGTTCCCCATGGAGAATTCGATTGCCGGCGGAGCAGTTAATTGTGGGAAGGGACTGGTGGGTCCCAACTCCACCCCTATTAAGTTCATGGTACAAAAGCCCAATG